GGGTGATAGGTACCACACCCGGCAGTGGTACTACCGCCAGTTATGGCTAGGCGGTGAGGGTAAGTCCAGGCCATCAACATCTATGAGTGAAGTTCAAGAAGAAGCACCCTCAGTCCCGTGCGGCCACCGCCCTTCCTGGCAGAGAGGGCAAAGGCAGAGGGGAGAAATCTCACGGAAGCGATCTGCCAAACAGTTTCCTAAACATTGGAACAATAAACACTCGAGGTCTCGTTAACGACTATGTGATCGATCAGCTAGTATCTGAAATGGACAGGTGTGCGATTGATGTAGCATGTGTCCAAGAAACGTTAAGATACAATGCAGGAAGAAATGGCACACTGGACATGAAGTGATCTTAGGAGCTGGCTCAAGAAACGGAAAAGTCGGAGGAGTCGGATTCATTGTATCGCCACGTTTCACTGCAAGGATTGCCTATTGCGAAGTAGTGTCTGAAAGAATTGCGATTCTAATGCTCGAACTAGGCAAAAAGAAGACGATGAAAATACTGTCGGTCTATGCCCCCACTGGTGCATATGAAGATGAAGCCGTGGAAGAGTTCTACGACACACTCGAAAATGCGATTGCCACTACTCCAAAAGGAACATATGTGATATGCGCTGGAGACTTCAATGCCCACTTAGGATGCGGAGAACCTGATGAATCCTATATAGGGCCATACGGAATACCAGGAAGAAACAACAGAGGAGAGGCTTTAGCACAATTCACCGAACGGAGTCGATTATCAGTGGCAAACTCATATTTCCAAAAGCGTGTAGGACGTCGCTGGACATACCATACCCCGAACAGGCAGATGTTCCACGAAATCGACTTCTTCTTAACCAACTGCTTGCGCCTCTTTCACAATGTTACAGTGATCGGAGAATCGCATTTTAATATTGGATCGGACCACCGTTTAGTTCGAGCTACAGTAGCAATGAAGCTTAGAGAAGAAAGGAGACGATTAGCTGCATACCATTCGCGACGTACTCAATGTATTCTCTGAAGAACGACTAAAAGCGCTCGCTTCCACGACAAACTTTTCTTCAGAACAGGGAAATGTCCACAGCAGATACGAAAAGTTGATTTCTACTATTCGGGATTAGTTAAAAATGCTTCAGAGCGCGTTCGAAGCAGACCTCGGGAACGATTAAGTGTTACTACACTGCAAATGTTGGCCACTCGGAAGGAATTGGGAAAAACTATGACTCCTGTGGCTAGAACTATATTAAACAAGGCTATACGCTATAGAGTGAGGAAAGAATATCGTGAATACGCGGGACGTAAAGCAAGAGAAGCAGCTGAAAAATGCACGAGCATCAAAAGAACATTCATCAACACTCGACTCAAAACCATTACCCCTGAATATCTCACAAAAGAAGATGGCTCTGTTGTCAGGAATAAAAAAGGAATGGAAGGAGAAATTCGAAACTTTTTCCAAGACCTCTTCTCCACAAAAGTGCTGGTGCAACCTAACATGATATTTTGTGAGAATGATGATGATACACTTGCAAGAGATGAATGGAATGATGATACACTTGCAAGAGATGAATGGAAAGTACTTGAAACGGAAGTTTTGAAGGCTATTCAACAGATGAAGGGAGGAAGAGCGCCTGGACCAGATCGAATTCTGGCAGAACACCTGAAATGTCTGAAGGAGTTCATTGCCCGCCCTTTGGCAGACATTTTCACGGAAATGCTGGCGTCGGGAATTGTACCAAAGGAATGGCTGGGCTCGAATACCATTTTGATCCACAAAAAAGGACCGCGTGATATACTGGCCAACTACCGTCCTATAGCGCTCCTGTCCACAATACTCAAAATCTTCTCACGTATCATCCTCAACCGCATAAGTGGAACACTCAATATAAATACGAGAAGAGAACAAGCCGGATTTCGTGAAGGCTTTTCAACCATCGATCAGATACATGTGATTTCTCAACTTGCGGAAAGATGTCGAGAATACCGAATCCCGCTATGTTATCTTTTTGTTGACTTCAAAAAGGCATTTGATACGGTCGAACACCAAGCGGTACTAAACGCACTTGCCACGTTCGGAATTTCAAGAAGATATATTGAAATAATACGACAATGTAACACGAGCTGCTACACTGACATAAAATTGCTCAAAGAACCAGTTCGTGTAAAGATCCAACGTGGCGTACGGCAAGGCGAGGTTATCTCTCCAAAACTATTCTCTGCAGCTTTAGAACTTGTAATGCGGCAAATCGAGCTGCCTTGTGGCATTGAGATAGACGGCGAAAGACTTCAATACTTGATGTTTGCAGACGACATAGTCTTGATTGGAAGCGAACCGAGTGCACTCGAAAGCTCCCTGAATATTTTGAGCGAAGCCTCCCGATCCATTGGACTTGTAATACATCCAGGAAAAACCAAATGGATGAAAAACAACTACACCAATGACTATCGTTTATGCATGAAAGGATCAGTCATTGAAGAAGTCTCATCGTACACCTATCTTGGCCAAGCAATAACGATGGATAATGATCTTACAAAGAAATCAGCCGGCGTCGAAAGGCGGGATGGGCCACATTTAACAAATACCGAGATGTTCTCACCGATAGACGGATTGAAACTCAAATAAGATCTCAGGTG